TTATCAAAGAATCCTGAAAAAAAGTATAACAGGTTCCAAAAAACTGTAATAAATCAGCATATTATAATGATTTCTGACGGATCATGTGATACTGAAGACTGGAGTAATGATGTTGAAAATTCAGCTTTGATGACAGGAATAAATTACATTTTAAAATATATTCAACTAGAAATTTGAAATTGTAAAACTATTTCACAATATTACTGTGTTTACTGTGTTTTTGAGCACACAAATGCGAGCCTTGGAGAGCAGAAGAGACTTCGTTAAAAATTCATTGAAAAATCATAAGGTTTCCAAACTTTTGCAAGTACTGTATCAAAACAGTATTTTATATTAGAGCTGCCTCTTTGTCAGCACTGCTTACTGTTCATTCTCAGTCGATTATACGAGGTGCATCCTGTGATGAATTTTAAACAGTATTGAATGAGTTCACTTGTATGCTGGACACTTGTTAGATGAAGAATCTGAAGAATGTAGAATGTAATGGAAGAAATTCATACGTAGACTCATTTGTGTAAAAGAAAAAGTATGTGAAGAAGTACAAAACTAATTAGAAGCATTTAAATGTTTTTAATGAGAAACAGAAACTCAGTCAAATGTATGTTTTTAAGCTCAAACTTTTGCTAAAAAATGATTAGTATATAAAACGTGAAAATAAATGCATGCATTAGATACAGTCTGTAATATGAGTCTTATTGCACATGCTTTCAAGAACAGTGTTTTTGAACGTGTCTCTTGTGTTTCAGGCTTGGCTCAATGAGAAGTTTTCTCCAGAACTGTTGGAGAACAAGTCGGAGTTGGTGGAGTGTGTGATGGAGCAGCTCACGCACATGGTATGTTTATTTATATATTTATGAATTTATTTATTTTTACAAATCCTGACGTGCACCTCCAGCATTTTTATTTAAAGAACAGATCAGACAAACATATGCAAATGGTAAACGTATGTAATTCAAAAATTCAGCTGTGTGGGGTCAGTATTAGGTTCTCAAGTTAAAATAAGAAACATGAAAACATTTTAGCAGCATGTGTAAAAAATGATTATGCAAGAATTTAAAAATGTAGAATTTTAATTGTAGAATTTTGAAAATGTTTCAAATGGTTAAATGTTATTTAAAATACTTCTGGATGAAATATAGCATTACATTTCGTTATCAATGAGTCATTTCTGTTTGTGTACGCAGGAGGAAAATCTGCAGCGGGTGAGGAAAGGTGATGTGAAGGCCAGTGTGCATCGCATGGAGATCGATCGCATCCGCTTTGTTCTGAGCAGCTATCTGCGCTCAAGACTCCAGAAGGTATCCTGAACATGACTCCACAGTCATTCAGCTGTTGCTTTTATTCAGAGTGACTTAAACTACACATATTACACAGACAGTTCCCTCTGGAGTAACCTGAAGGATATGTGTCTTTCTCACAGACACAGTTTAGACCAGTCTGAAACTATCTAGCTGTCCTTATAGATGGTTTCAAGATGTTTTTTTGCTCTAGAAATGATCTTCAGCATCCTTTGTGCTTTGAGTTGAAGCAAAGGTAAATTGCACTGTAGGTACTTGTTTATGCATACATGGTTGTTGTCTCGTCTGCAGATAGAGAGGTTTTTCCCTCATGTTTTGGAGAAAGAAAAGTCACGTGCTGATGGAGATCCTTCATTTCTCTCTCCTGAAGAGTTTGCCTTCGCTAAAGAGTGAGTTCATTCTGAATCCTTTCTACTGTCTGTATCAGCCGATAGGCAGACGGTGTGGTAAAGTGCAAACAGAGCCAGAACATTCTTTTCATTTCTGTGAGAATGACTGTTTTGGGCTGAATGTCGAGTGGTATTTGGTATTGTCTGTTAGTCATCTAATTCACATAATTCACAAAGTGATGTGTGGGGTCTCTAAATGTTATATGTTGTGTGTTTAGGTATCTGGCCAACACAGAGATGTATCTCCGAAATGTGGCTCTGAAACACATGCCCCCAAACCTGCAGAGCATTGACATGCTGAAGGCTGGTGAGAAACGTTTTATTGTTTTAAATGGATATTTGAAGAATCATAGACAGTTCACCAACATTACTTATTTCTTTTTTTTTAATAATATTTATTAGTGTATTTTTCAGTTATATTTTGAGATTTACTAGCCAGAAATACTAGAAGTCACACACACACACACTAGTGCTGTGTGCAAAATATCGATACGACGATGTATCGTCACAGAGATTTGACGATACGAGCATCGATACAGCTGGCCCTGTATCGATTCTGTTTCACACAAATGCTGGCACAGACGTGCATGTTCGGCTAGAGTCGCTTTGAACTCGTGCATCATCGGAAGTGGAGCTGCGCAGAAAGTCCTGCCGCGTGCACCTAAGCGAACTTGCGGACGCGTCGAGTAAAGTCAGCCTTGTGTGTGTGAGATACAGTGAAGACAGCGCGTTAGTTTAGAACTCTGTAGACCGCGCTTAATTTGAATACAAGAACAATGTTTAAAATTGAGCAGAAAAGTGCGAGGTTTCTAAAAAATAATGAATAGAGAATAATATATAGGCTATAACTAGGTTTAATCTGGCCGCAGAGGAACACAACTGGGTTGCCTGATATAAAGAGACGTAATCCCCAAAACAGAGCTTTACACTTGCGCAATATGGAAATATCTGCCAAGTGTGTAACTTATCTTTGTCAACCTGGCAACCGTGTGCACACGTGCTCTCTCCACTGTGGATAAACGCGCTTGCTTTCTGAAAACAGCGGTTAGCTTGCAGTTTAGCGATCTCCACTTCAATATTCTATTCTCAGAAAAGTGTAACTCATCAAGTGGTCATTTATGAGAGAGAGAGAGAGAGAGAGAGAGAGAGAGCGAGAGAGGCTGTGTATGTATGAATTACCACCGATTTGCCACGTTTCTTTATTAACAGTAAAGCTGTGGCTTTAATTCCTTTAGAAACAATGATGTTACCAGCTCCTTGTTGAGACACACACACACACACACATATATATATATATATATATATATATATATATAATTTTAATAATACCATAATCTTAATTTGGATAAAGGGAATTTACAGTAAATTTACATTTTACAGTGAACACTCAGAAATAAAGGTACAAAAGCTCTCTTTGGGGCGGTAACTTTAAGGTACTGTGGACCCTGTAGTGGTAAATAAGGTACAAATGTGTACTGCATTTATATAAAAAATAGATCAGAAAAGCATATAGACTACTGGTCAAAAGTTTGTGGTCAGTAAGTTTGTTTGTTTTAACAGTAAAGAATTGAGCAAGGATGAGCAAGGATGCATTAAATTAATTAAAAGTGACTATAAGGACTAAATTGGTAAATTGCTACCAAATATTTCTGTTTCAAACGAATGCTGTTCTTTTCAACTGTCTATTCATCACTGTAAAAAATGATTGTGATTTTAACAGTAAAAGACTGTAAAAATGCTACAGTAAAAACCTGTACAGTCCAGTAGATGGCGAAACACTACTTGCCTATAGACTGAACTCATAATACGCATGTGCAAATCACCATTTTCACAAATTAGCATTTTTGTACACTGTAAAAAATTATTGTGATTTTAACAGTAAAAGACTGTAAAAATGCTACAGTAAAAACCTGTTAATTGGTCATCAGTAACTTTCCATACTATATACGGTGAATAACTGTAATTACATTTAATGTGATTTCACAGTAAAATACTGTTAAAATTACGGTTTTTGGAAGTGAAAAAGAAAAAGTCATTGTATAATTTACAGTGAAAAACCATAAATTGACTCCCAGAATTCCCTGCATGACACATCATATTTTTTGCTTTTTTTTCATTGAAATAACTATGTTTCTTCTTAGTTACAATGGTTCAAAACAGATATTAATACTTCAATATGCTGGTTTATTAACATTACATCAGTTAATGAAATACGTTTTTTATTGTGAATTTAAGTTAAATCTGTAAAACCTAAAATACTGCTACCATATTTTTAACGGTGAAATTCTGGTAACCACAGCTGCCGGTATTTTACCGTAAATGTCTCAGATTTTTTTTACAGTG